CATGACAAGGTACGGTTGGCCTTCCTGACTGCATCCCCACACTGTCAGCCCATGTTCATTTTGGCATCAATAATGACTCCAAGATCCTTTTCTATCTCTGCACTGATGAGAAGGGAGTTCCCCAGCCTGTAGGTATGCTGCTGGTTCTTCCTTCCCAGGTGCACCACCTTGCACTTGTCAGTGTTGAAACCCATCCTGTTTTCATCTGCCCACCCCTGTAACCTGTCTAGGTCTGATTGCAGCCTATTCCTCCTTCTAGCATGCCCACTTCCCCCCCACAACTTAGTGTCGTCTGTGAATTTGAACAGGGTGCTTTTTACCCCCTCGTGAAAGTTGCTGATGAAGATGTTGAACAGTGCGGGCCCAAGAACCGAGCCCTGGGGGACCCCACTGCCCACATCCCTCCAGGTCGAAAAAGACCCGTCCACCACCACTCTCTGGGTGTGGCCCTCCAGCCAGTTAGTGGCCCATTTGACTGTGATATTGATCTTTTACCCAGCATAACTGGCAGTCTCGGAATAGTTCAGCAATTCCATTCTCCAGAAACAGTTTTAGACTATTTTGTGGAAAATAAAAAAACTCTCCCATACTTTTGATGAAAAAAAGCAAAATATTTTAATCTCCTAAGAAATACATAAGTTATAATGACTCAGAGAATGAATGTAAAAAACTGGATTTATAAATAATTAAACAATTAACTCTGATATAACCCTTGGAAAAACACATGCTCAATAGTGATTTATTAGATTTTAACAGGTAAAATCTCCGAAGAGTCTTATATTCAAGCTTTAGTTACGCTCAAGCTATGGACTTTCTCTGCAATTGCAGGTATGAGGGGCTGCAGGTTGTGTTGTGTCTGAGCAGCTGACCAGAAAGTCTCTTTTTAACGGCTGCAATGTTCTGCTGAGCCCAGGCAGAATAGAGGAGGAAGTTGCCTAATTTGAATGAAAATAAAATGAAGAACTCGACCTGTGCAAGTGGGCAAAATTGACTGGAACAAGGAGATGGGAAGGGATTTCAGTTTCTCCTCTCCCTCCTTCCCTTCCCGCTCCTCCTTCCCCCCTCCCCTCAGCCCCAAGGCTGAGAAGAGGAACTCTCTCCTCTCTTGTGCTGAGAAGTCAGGCTGCTGCCCTTGTACTGGCAGCTGCCGCTTGGCCTGCGCTTGGGCCAGCCCCTTCCCGGCAGGAGGGGGCTTATTCCTCCAGGCACTGTCCCAAGCGCAGACGGAGGGGAGGCTGCCCAGCAGCCTGATTTCTCAGCACAGAAGGGGAGAGAGTTACTTTTCTCAGCCTCGGGCTGGCTGGGAGGATCAAGGAGCCTGTATTGGGGCTTGGCTCCCCCCACACCAGAGCTGGGAGCAGGGCTGGAGTCCACTGCCATGTCCCCTTCTGTCTCTGGGCCAGCTGAGGGGAGGCGAGGAAGGAGGGAGAGGAGAAGCTGAAGTCCCCTGCCACGTCCCCTTCTCATCCTCTGGGCCAGCTGAGAGGGGGGCATGGCTCCCAGATCTGGGGGTAGAGCCAAGCCTGGCTGCGGGCTTCTGCCCCCGTACCCCCTGCCAGCCTCAGCCAGCCCACAGGCTGAGAAGGGGATGTGGCAGGGGACTCCAGCCCGATAGCAGTGGGGCAGGGCCATGGCTAGCAGCTGGGGGCACGGCGGGGGAGGTGGGCCGGGCCGGGGTTATTTGTCCTCCCTCTAGCATCCAGTGGAGGGGACAGCACGGGGCCTATTCCCCCACAGGGTGTGAGTGCGGCGGCGATGTTGGGCAGATCTGGCTGCCAGTGGGGGTAAAGGGGAGACTAACTCTCCTCCCTGCCTGCTTCTGCATCAGGGGCCATGGTGCCCAAATTGCTGCTGCAGCAAGGAGAGAGAGCGCTTGGCAGATCCGGCTTGGGTCCCTGCTGGTGAGATAGAGAGGGGGAATTAAACCCCTCCCTGGCCTGAGCAACTGCAGGCGTATGCTCGCAGTTCCTCAGTCCAGAGAGAATGTTTGTCCTGTTACAAACTGGTTTAACCTAGGCAGGTTAGACTAACTTGCAAAGGTTGAATCAATTAAGGCTCCAGCTTTTTGAATGTCTGTCCCTAGCCCTTCTGTTTGGTCTGGGGTAATGTTGTAACTCAGAACGCTTTGCAGAAAAGGTTTGAGTTACAGCCGGAAGCTGCACTTCTGTCTGCACCCTAAGGCTGCCATAGAAGCTGGAAGGGACATGTTTGCTATCGCTGTTACAGCTGAGGACAGGAGGTGAGGGCATTGCCCTGATTCAGAGTCAAGAAACAGCTTCTCCCATGCCTTCCCCAGATTAGATGACTGTGGTGTGGGGAAGGTGGGAGGGGAAGCACTTCCATGATGGTTGACTTCTTCCATGGACAAATTGAATTGCCCTGGCCCTCTCCAGTTTCCCTGAGACTGGGGGCACCCCAGTCTGGAGAAGGCATGTACACCATTGCCCAGCTTTTCCTCACCTGTTCTCCAGACCAACTGGTCATGATCTGGTTCACTGCCACAGTCCTCTCCCCATCTGGTGTGCGGCTGTAGGCTTCTAGCTCTTAGAGCTGTACATGGAGGAGCTCCCCTGACACTGTACTGTAAGAGCTGTGCCCACAGCCTGCTGCCTTTCCTTGCTATGGAGAAGCAGCTGCCCACTCCCTAGATTGGGAGACCCCAGACTATGGAGTTGGTGGGGGGCATGCCCCACTGCTCCCATCCTCTCCTCAACCAGTCCAGGAGGGGACTGGAGCAGTTAACAGATCTTCTCACCCTCTGCCTAGCCATTTGAGGTCTGGGTCTGGGAGGAACGGAGCAACTCTTGTTCCCCATGTCTTCCCCAGGCCAGGATCACCCTAGTCTGGGGAAGGCGCACAGACTAGGGGAGAAGTTTAGCTGAAGACTGAACACCTAGGGCATGTCCTAATATGCAGAGGCGTGCATTTCCAGGGGCACAAAAAGCAGCAGTTCACATTTGTGCTGCTGCTTTGCGTCCCAGGGCATATTCCAGCATGCACCAAATTGTCTCAAGTGGGGTAGAGGAGACCAGGCCCAGAAGCCTTCCCTAGGGTCCTGGGGGCCTCCTGGGGTAGCAGTGGCACCAATCTGGCTGCACGGAGCCTGGCTGGCAGCCAGAGCATGGCTCTGGATGTCCAGGCTCTGTTTCTGGTGGCGCACACTACTGCCACGTTGCTTTTTGTGGCTTTTTTTTTTTTTTTTTGCTAACAGGGCATTCCAGTATCAAATTTGGGCATTGCGCTGCAAATGTGCAACTGTGTGCTACACTGGAAATTCTCCACATGTGATTTGTTGTACTGCAAACCACACATTCATGCTTGTCTGGACATCCCCCTATAGTGCTACATTCCCAGAAAGATGTCTACTAGTAGAAATGCCTTAGAAGTCTCCACTGCTAGAAATGAATGCTGGTTTGAGGCCATAGGCAAGAACAAGAGGAATAATAGTGGATCACTAACAAGCTGCATGCCTGCTGTTCTTGTTCAGTTTTAGTTTAACTCCGATTATCATTTACAACACAGTATACCAAGGAGTCTTACAATGGCACTTTATCAAGTGAGTCTATTAAGATTCTTGTATTATCATACAGATAGTTCAAAGGATCTCACACTGCTCTATAATTAGGCTACTATTTGAGAGTCTTTCTATTTTTTCACAGACATGGTAAGTTGTGCCAATTTTCTTAGGTTGCCATTTGCCTTATCAATGCTAAGGACATTAGGCTTTAGCATGAGAACTCTAGGAGGTTCATGTTTTGCATATTGCAAATAATTCTGTATACTGACTTATATAAATAAGTATTCACATAGAATCAGTATTCATATACTGACATTAACATTAAACTAACTCCTAAGCTAATTTGTTACACAGAATCTCAGCAGTGCTAACATCTGGCTGATGGTATCTATTTATAAAATAAAAAAATGGAAGATACAGTCTTTGTTCAGATTCTGAATTTGTTTGCTCCAGTGTAAAGCTTGGTTAACCCTATTAACTATTTGTGGGGGGTAAAATAAAATAAAGGAGCATTTTTTGCTTATTTTGTAGAAAAACTCCATGGCAGAAAGACATGGATATAAGCAATAGGTGTAGTCTGAAATTTATAGAACTGCTTCAGCAGAGGCACAACTAGTTTACAACATGGATTGGTCTATGCCAAAAGTGTCCTGCCATTGGGAATAGCCAGGGTTGAATCCAAAGTGGGGTACAGTGGCACAAATGCAGCCCCCCTTTCAGTCAATCGTGCTGTGGGAGCATCAGCTGGGGACTTAATTTTAAGTCCCCAAAGTGAGCGAGAATCCCCCTGTCTTCTCCATGCTTAGTGGCACATCTGCCCCCCTCCACTGCTTACCACTGCCACTGTCTCTGGCTGCTTTGGTGGGGGCAGATGAAGGAGCTCCAGAGTCTCTCCTGCCTGCTCCACTTAGGCTCTTTGGGGAGCCAGACTTAGCCAGGGACAGCAGCAGCAGTCCCTGCAGTGTTCTCTGAAAGCCTGGGACTAGGCGCAGGAGAAGAGAACCCTCCTGCTACCACAGCTGTCTAACCAAGCCTAGCTCCACATGCAGCCTGGCTGGAGCGGGACAGAAGCAGCTCTGGAGCCTGTTCCCAGGTCAGCTGGAGACAACAGCAGTGGTAGGCAGGGGAGGGAAGTAGAGGCTACTGTGCACAGATGGGAAGGGAGGGGGAGGAAATATTTTTACCTGCTTGAGGGACTTAAAAAAAGTCCCCTCTGCTACCCCCTGCTGTTCCTCCAGTGCAAACTGCATGCCCTGGTGTGGGAAGGGGAGCCTGGATGCAAGGGTACAGCCGTTCCTGCAGTGCAGGTCATTGCTCTTGCACCCTCCTTTCTGCCATTCTGGATCCTGGAATGTGTCAGCAGATCCAGCACCCAGGGGATTAAGGAAGCAGCCACCTGGTATAAAGACCTCCTCATGCTCCTCTTCTTGAACCCCTGTTGCTGAATGCTGCTGTTTTTCTTCACCAGTGGCAACTGGAAACAGTAAATTTGGCAGGAAGAAAAGACCTGGGAAAAGGGTTAGAGGGAAGTGTGCCTACCTCTGGCAGCTACTCCGTAAACCCATTGCATGCTGGCTATGTCAGTATCCCCTCCATAGCAGCTATTCCCAAATGCAGGGCACCTCTCCCAGAGGACACTTCTGGTAAATACCAGTCTTGAGCCCTGCCATTCTGGCACCTCCTCTAAGTCTGTGCCTGGCATTTGTGCCCTGCTTGCCCAACCCTAGTTCTGCTGCTTGCAGACCTTCAGAGAATGGAATCTCCTGAAACCCAAGGAGAGAGGGCATCATGCTCTCCTCTCCTTGAATTGGTTGTTTTGCTTTGGCAGAATCTCAGGGCAGCAAGGAGGAAGGATTATGTCATGTAGAGCATGTGGCCATGTTCACTGAGGCAGCCTTAGTACCAAATGTATCCTTTGAAAAATATTGTCACCTATATCCAGCAAATATATCCTGATTTCATCCTCCCTCATATCCTGCCCCAGTTATGACTATAAAGGGACACTGTTTGAAATCAGGTCTCCTTTGGAACCCCTTCCTCTCTCCTGTCTTTGAAAACCAGGGCAGAAATGGCAGCCTGTAGTGCTCTTTCAGTTTTGGAATGGCCCATTTACCCCCCAAAGAAGCTCCCTGAGCCGAGGAAAAAATATAAACCTAGAACATGTAAGACACAAGCAGCAGGGAACCTTTTCTTTGTTTCTTGAGTAAATTTTCACTGGCTTTCTGAGGACCACCTTGGCTGTCTTCTTTTGGTTTTCATAATGTTTGGGGACTACAGGCAGCAGCTGGTTGTGCGTTGGTGACATTATTACTCGATTGCATTGTCTCTTGCAGCTCCCAGGCTCTCCTTCACAGATTATTTATTTCAGAACAAGAAAGAAAAGAATTAAATAGCACCATTCTCTAATGCAGGGACCGCCAGGCCTAATCTTGACTGCAGGGTGCCTTGCCTTCTGGATCCAGATCCAGATCCAGCAGTTGTAGGGTGAGTGGTGGTGGTGGTGGCAGAGCAGGATTAACTGAGCCATCACTTGTTCTGCTCCAACCACTGCTCATACACATCCCTAACAGGGCTCCATAGCTGGGAAATCAGCAGTGGGCCCCATGCCCACTCCCCCACATCCAACTTCCCAGCCCCTCTAGGCAGTATCTTTGACACCCATCACTTAGTGTATATAGCGGTCCTGACTATGAGGACTCTTGGATTCTATTGCTCTTTCCACTGTCTTTTCTCTCACTATCATGATTTACCCACTTGTAAAATGGGGATAATACTAACCTTTGAGTCAGGAGAGCCGTATTAAAATGTCTTGAACTCTTGATATAGGAAGCAGGGCTAGAATATATCTGACTACAACTGGCCCAACTCTCATGGCTTTGCATGCTGAAGTGTTATTTGCTGTCCATACATTCTTCTTAGTGATGACTGTACCATTAGTGCACAGTGTAAGTACTGCGCTCTTCGCAAAATAGCCTGGTATCTCTTCCCCTCATTTGGCTGGGGCCAAACAAGACAAGTGGGGTAGTAGAGGCTACCTCCTATTCAATATTTTAGTTACACAGGCAGCATTCAGTATTTAACTTTTTACTTATGTGTGTCTCTGTGAGCAGGATGGAATCAGGCTGGATTATTTGGTCAGTAGTGGTGATACAGATAGCAAGAGGGAGATGGATAAGGAACAATTTGCTTTTAGAAAGTGTAGCACCCAGGTGTATGCCATTTGCCACTTAGGAGCTTCTGGTTAAGGGTAGTACTGGGATGGAGGAGAGCTGACATCAAATCTGACTGTGCTATAGCCTTCCTTGGGCAAGTCATTTTCTTCCGTTAGATCTAGATTGGGCTTATAAGAAAGGCCTTGGCCTGTAGGTTTCAACGTGTCAAAAATCGGACCTATACCCAAGAAGGCTGGTCCCAATAGACAAGGTCATAAAGCCTGGGAATAGAGAGAGTTGGGTGGAATGGCACTGCCTACCTTTTGCATAATAGCCCAGTGGTTAGAGTACTTCTCCAGAAAGCAGGAGATCTGGATTCTAGGCCTTCCTCAGCCTGAATTGATTAAATCCACATGCAAACAGAAAGACTAGGGACAGACATTCAAAAAGCCTGAGCCTGAATTGATTCAATCTTTGCATATTAGTTTAACCTGCCTAGGTTTAACTGGTTTATGACTGCACAGACATTCTCTCTGGACTAAAGAAATGCAGGCACATGCCTGCAGCGGCTCAGGCTAGAAGCCAGGGGTGCTAGAACAGCCCCTTCCCCCACCTTCCACAGTCCTGAGCTGAGGGGGGGCATGGCCAGGCCCTGGCAGGACACTCTGATTAGGAAGGGGTGTAAACCCCCACTCTGCCTGCACTATCTCAGGCTTTTCCCCACTCACTACTCAAAGGGTAGGAGTGTTGCCAGACCCCAGACCCTGGCTAGCACTCTGAGGCAAAGGGGGTGGGGTGCAGTGCATGCATCTGCTGATTATATGATGATACTGAGCTTTTCAATATCTCTTCCCCTGCCTCTTCATACTGTCTGCAAACCTGGCAGGTGAGGGAACCTGCTTTTATCAGCCCATCAACAAAACAAAAGCCCCTCTCATTAGTTTAATCAGCTCTCATTAGTTTAAGCAGCTTCTTAAACAGCTTTTTCCAAGGAAGGAACAGGGGGATATTGCCAGCTGACCTGTTGATTAGCTTCAAAAATTGGAGGGGGGTGGGATGGGCCTGCTGTGCTTGCAGTCTCCACTGGAGCTCTGGCTAGGGATCAGAGGGGTGGGGCCAGCCCTGTTCTCTGGAGCAGATAGCACAGTCCAGGGCTGCAAAGCATCTGGGATGCTGGGGGACTCTGGTTTAACTTAAACCAGGAAGGGGTCTGGGACAGATATTGCATAAACTGGTTTGACCAAATCGGTTAAGACTGATACTACATTCAACCAGGTTTATCTTAAACCAGTTTCAGCCATTTTGAAACTGGTTTATGTATGCTGAACTTCTGTTCTGTTACAGGTAGAAATCCGTTTCTGATCACTTAAACCGGTTTATGCGTAATGTCTGTTTCTAGCCAAAGAGACATGACTTTGTGGCCTAGAGCTAAAGGGATTTAGCTGAGGGGCAAGGAAAAACCTGGGTTCTTGGTCAGGTCTCCAAGAACTGGTTGTATATTCTACATTAGGCAGTCACTAGATAAAAACTGTGTGTGTATGTGTGTGCAAAATCATGGGGGGAGAAAATCCAAATTTTTTTGGTCAGAAAAGTTTTGACAAAATTAAAAATTTCTTGTGGAAAATATATTCTTTAATGAAAAATTTAATTTATTTGAAACACCATTTTTCCATTGAAAACAAAGTTTGGGTTGGACCTAATGCAGTCCTCTTTCACAATATTTTTTTATTATGTTTTCATTTAATTTATCATTAACTGCTGTTCACTATAGATTACATAATAGTCAGCTTTTACTTTAACAATAACTGCACCACACCTAGAAACTGTTCTCAGTTTCTTTTTTTTCAAAAAAAGTGCTTTTTGCCAAGTATGTAGCAGTCAATATGTCCCATCAGAATACAGAGGTCAAATGTTCAGATGCAGTTTCCAAGGACTTTCCCCCCTAACTTTCTTCTTCCTCTCAAGAAAAATTGTGGGCCTGGCTTTATTTGTTTATTTTTTCTCTCTTGCTTTGGTTTAACTGCACTAATTACTTCAGTTATGCTGTTGGGAAAGAGGAATCAGTCCCATTGTGTTCAATGAAGACTTCCCTTAATTCCTGCATTACTAGGAATTTCCCTTTCTTGAAAACTGTGCACTCAGAGCAATGCAAATCTTCTGAACTCACCTCTCTGCTGATATTGCAGGAAT